CAGGTTATAACTCACTAGGCCCAACCTCAAGACAACACCAGTGGATCTTAAAGGAGGGATTTCTTTTTCTTTTTGCTTTTTGAGACAAAGTCTCACTGTATAGCCCAGGCTGGCCTCAAACTTGCAAATCTCCTGCCTCACCCTTGCAAATCCTGGGTATATAGGCATGCTCCACCTTGTGAAAGGAAGGATCATAACAGTCCATTTTTCTACTCCAATGCTTGGCTCCCTGTCCCAGAGCCCAGTACAGGACTGGCTCCTAGTTGGCACTCAGTAAATATTTGGCAACTTTTAATCAGGAGGTTGGTTAAAAGGCCGACTGGAGCTTGCTCCAGTCAAAGGCAGCTTCAGGACCTTGGCTCTGCTCCTTTGGTTAGGCTGCGGTGGCAGGCTCAGCTATCATCTAATAATCACACGCATGCATAAAATTGTAAACCCCACAGGACAAGCTAGGATACCCTAGTCTCTCCCCAGAGGAGCCCTTGAGCAAAGATTCAAGGGCAAGTAGTGCATTTGGGAGGTGATCCCAGAAGGCGCCAGTAGGGGATTTGGAAAGCAAGATGGAAAAGAAGGCAGCCAAAATAATGATGTGTTGATGTTCAGCTGAGTGATGTTCCCGGCGGGACTTCTGGGAGACCATATAGCACAAGCCTTAGAGTTGCCCCCACCAAGGGGTATTTTCCACTAACTCCCATCTGTTCCTTGAAGGCTACTCCCATAGCTATCTGTCCCCAGTACTTCCAGACAGCTCTGCTCATTGCCCAAGCATGCACCTGCAGGACAAGGAAGCACTGAGACAGAGCCCTGTGCATGCAATAAGAAGCTGGTGAGTAAAAGAATGATGAGTCGAAGGGGTAGAAGCAGGGCAGTAATAGTAGCTGATACACCTGGAGTCTCTAGGCCTATAGCATGGCCTGGTGCATAGCTGGTATCAAAAATAAAGGGGTACAAATAAAAGCATTTATTCCATTGGTTTTACAAAACTGTATTTTTACAAAAGAAGTCATTTTCGTCAAAGGAAATCTTACTAAAAAAGTTGAAAATGTAATAGATTAAAGAGGAGTTTCCTGATTTTAAAACCAAAGCTCCACCACCTTCTCTCACTATACCCAAATATTCATGAGAAACACTCAGGGTATCTCAGAGCGCAGGAGGCAAGGACTGATCAAATTCGTCCTCTTCATGTCACAAACAGGGCAACAGAGTGCCACATCTCTGGTGATACCATGAGTAAACGCTGAAAGCCAAGGGCAGCCCAGAAAAGTAGATTAGGGAGGGTGGACCTCACCCCTGAGCAGTAGCTCAGACTGAGCAGGGGTCTCCACTGGAAGCACCCCAGGGCCCTGGCTGAGAACCGGGCTGTTCTCCAAGACCACGGTGAAGTGAGAAGCACTGCTGCAAAGCGAGGACACCTCCACCCTCTCCAAGAACTCAAGTGATTAAGTTGAGTGTCATTCATGTCCCACCACTCCGGAACCAAACGTTAGCAGCCAAGGGAGATGTCAGCACCATCCACTGCCACAATGGCAGAATATCCATCCCACGGCTGCCAGAAGGGATGTCACCTTGGATGGAAGACTCAATCCACTCATGTGGAACTGGGACCTCTAGTCCCTGGGAAGGTGCGCTGCGCAATACATCTTGAGGGGATAGCTGGAAGCAAACATCATAAAGAACTTAAAAACACGAGATTGTGTTGGAAAGCCAAATTTGAGGTCACTGAGCTGGAATGAGCTCTCAGTTTGTCTGGACAGAGAAAGAGAGAGATGCGGAGGGAAATATTTCATCCTCATCTTCCAGGAGCTTTTGGATTTCCTGTGGCAATGTCTGGATCTCATGCATGGCGCCCATCCCTCTGCACCCTGATCTCTTGTTGGCAACACTGAAAACTCCCAGAGCCAGCTGCCTTCTTTCTAGGCTTGATATCAGTCTGCAATCAGGTGAGGTAGCCAAATCCACCTACTGGTTTTACGGCTACAAGGAGGAAAAGCTCTCTTCCTTGGTTTCTCTGGAACACCCAGGTATTGCTTGTGCTGACAAGAAAGATGTATTGAATTACCATAATATACCCCATAAAGATCTACAAATATTATGCCTTGGTAAAAAAAAAAAAAGAAAGAAAAAATAACAAATGGTGCTCAATATGATTACCACTGGAAATTAGGACTGTCTCTGTCTATTCTCCAAAAGGAAAATGGCTGGAACATTCCAACTCCTTCATCTTTATGGATGAAAATCTGAGGCTCTAAGAAGGGGATGTGACTTATCTCAGATCACAGAGGTACTGAATGGGAGACCTGAGACTAAATGTCAGTTCTTCCTGTTCCTAGTTAAATGCATTTCTTCTACACTAATTTTAAATAAAATTATACCTTTTTTGCTTTAACTATGTTTTTCTCTCATTCTTTCTTTGTTTCTTTTCCTTTTTTAATATTTTTCTTTTTTATTGGTACATTTTAGGTATACATAATGATAACATTCATCATAGGGAATTTGTGCCTATACATGATATAACTTGCTTCTTTTTTTCTCTTCAAATTCCCTTCCTTGTTTACAAAAGTCTTGTTTCCATTTTTTTCTTGTCCCTTCTTTCCTTTCCCCCTCCCCTCTCCCTTGTTCCCTTCCTCATTTTTTTTAGCTCTGTGCCTGGCCCATAGAGTCCCAGTAAATATTTACTAAATGAAGGATTATTTGAAGATATAGGAAGAGAATCCTCCTTCTGAAGGAAAGTTTAGAACTTATTTTTTTTTTTTTAAGACAGAGTCTCACTATGTGGTTCAGGCTGGTCTTGAACTCACTATGTACCTCAGGCTGGCTTCAAGCTCTCAGTGATCCTCCTGCCTCAGCCTCCCAAGTTCTGGGATTACAGGCATGTGCCACCTCCATGCCTGGCTTGGAACTTTTTTTTAGAAAGTCCATTTTTCAGCCTTGAGAAATCTTCAAATTGTACACACATCGGCATAGCCACATTCTTGACTGGAAGTTGAAGTTGGTACATGGAGAGTGAAGCAGTTCAGAGTTGATAAGAAGGGGTGGTGGAGTGGAAGCAGCACCAGTAGTGACTGAGAATCCCTATCAGCAACACCTTCTCACAGGTCCTCAGATATCTCCCTACAGCCCAGGCACAGACAGTTTTATCAAGGCCTGGCGTGATGGTGAGCTGACATAACATCCAGTTCTAAGTCTGTGATTCAGCACAACTGACTTCATTCAAGTACCTGGCTGCTGACTATGATTGTGTCTACACCCTCAAAACACTTAGCCTGGCTAAGTGTTGTATACAAACTGGTTCTTTTGGTCCAAAACAGTCACAGTGATTTCCACCTACGAGAAGTCTCCAGCTTCAGAATGTCATTAAAGCCAGAGCTTGTCATCTTTTGGCTTTATCTACTTATCCTTAGCACTCAAATATTATGAAGCAAGCAAGATTTATCTTTGTTTATTGAGGTTTTGCTTTTTATTAGCCATTCTTTTTCTTTTTAATAAAACAGCCTCACATAAAACACAATTTTTCCAAAAACAGGCAACTAGTGGTGAAGAAAATAAGTCACTGTCAATATTTTTATGACCATCCTTTCCTTCCTTTAACTTCTGACTTCATCACCCAAGATTTTAACCTCATCCTGGTGCTTCCAACACCCTGAAACTTGGGTATATTAGACTGAGCCTTTTATGCTACTTCATTTAATTCTCATAGAATTCTAAAATAGAATTCCCTACTTTAGAGATTGAAAACTGAGACTCAGAGAGATTGAGACCTGCCCAAGAGCACATAGCTAATCTATGACAGAATCGTGCTTCAAATCCCGATTTACCTTATTTCCAGAGATGAGATTTAGAAAGAAATATAGCTACCTTTTCAAACATCTCTTTTCTATGCTACGCTCTGTGCTCAGTGCCTTATACACTTTGCCTCAGACCTTTATGGCAAATAAACAGTAGGTTTTATCCAATGGTTGAGAAACCTAAGTCATAGAAGGTTAAGTGACTTCCCCAGAATTATACAGCTGTTCAAAGGCAGAGCCAAGAAACAAACCCAAGGGTTCGACTCCTAGGTCCATACTGTTAATTGGGGAACTACATGACATCCTGCAGGTCACAAGCTGAGGCCAATACTCTACACACTGTCATTTGTTTGGTTTTTTTCTAGGTAAGCATGGTTTTCCAACCTTACACGTACATTTGAAACAATCTGTCCCAGTCCTGGTGCCTGAGCCCAACACTTTCTCCACCTGGCGTCTTTCTCCTTGTTCACAGCCCACACACCCTGACCGTGGATCACATACCCTGACTAAGGATCACAGCCACCTTGCCCTCTGCGACTCCTTGTCCTCACCTGGGACACACCTTCAGCTTGTCATCTCACACCCACCCCTCAAACCTGGAACGTACTCAGGCCACTAAGCCACACCTCAGATTTCAGACATACTCTCATTTCTGTGATCTGGCCATTTCCAACCAAAACCCTGGAGAGACTCCTCGTTCCACCCCGCCTGCCACCCAGGACTGCAACCTTCCCCTGGAGCCCTGGCCTTGCAACAGCTGCCGCCTTCCCCTCCCCTTGGATTGGCTCAAGCTTCCTAAACAAGTCAGCAGTAGAAATTCTATCTGATAACTTCAAAATCCCTGTACTTGGAAAATAGTGTCTAATGTTATCACTTTTACTTAAATGAGGAGATGAGAGCTCATTGATAAATATGCACGGCTATACTAATCTGAAGTTGGATTACATGCACCAGTCTGCTAGAAAGAATCTAGCTGTGTGGTTTGGGGCAAGTCATTTCACCTTGGTCATCAGCTTCTTTATCTGTCAAATAATGAGTAAAGCTAGGTGATCCCAGGGCCCCCCAAACTCTGAAATTCTATTAGTCTATGATGCAAGATATGACAAGCCTGGCAGATATTACTCCCATCAAAGCCTTTGTCCAATCATTAACCAAACTAAGGAGGCTGATTCTGCAATCTAATAGCAAAGTTCACTTTCAGGAAGAAGGGGAGGATTCAGGACAGTTGAACATTCCTGGACATCACTGGGGACCTAATCCTAACTTGGTCTTAGTTTGCTGGCAACACTGAAAGGAGATCTGAGGGATCGTTCCTGAAATGGGGCACATTTTGGAATGAAGGAGTATTTTTGGTGAGTAGAAAACCATTAGTTGACAGAAGTCAAGATGAAATCAGCTTTTTGAAAAGATTAAGTTTTGTTGTGTTGTTTTTTTTTAATTTGCCTCAATCACTTGTTTTTCTCTGTACCTTATGTAATCTTGCGGGATACAGAATCAGAAAGCAATAAATCATTCATGGTGCTCTGAAAAAAATATCACTGTGCAAAGCAGATGCAATTTAATATGAAATGGGAGACGTTTTGCATGAAACCTAAAAGAAAAATGTGATTGCCATGGTTTATAGCCCACACTGATCACTAATTCCCACAATCACTATGTGACTCAGCTATTTGTTTCTGGCTTCTTGTAGTAGGTTTTAACTGGAGATTAAATTAAAGATATAGCCTGTCACCACTACACTGAGTTTCTCCAGAAGTCTTAAAAAAGATGCTATAATCCTGGCAGATTTTTATTTGCTACTTGAAGAAACCCAGAAAGCCTCCTTTGTGACCAAATATCCGTTTTTCAATATGTTTGTCACTGCTATCTGTGATTCCTATAGGTTAATTAAATCCCTTTGTCAAATGTAAATACATCTCCCCAAAACTGACACACAAAAATACAAGCAGCCCCTGGCAGAGTTAACCCACAAAGCTAACCCTCAAACATTAATGGGTTTAGCTAATAAAATTGGTTTAGCTAAATTGTTTCGAATGTGGCAGCAGCTAGCTGTGATGAGACAAATTATGTTCTAACAAACAGGCAAATTATGTTTTTTAAACCTCTCTCATATTCACTGACTCATCTGAGTTTCACAGAAGTAGCAAGGACAGGGGTTTGTGTTTGCTCAAGCATTCATTCTTACCACAATTTTATGGACTGTCAGCCACTGTGCTAAAGATACAGACAAAGTAATAAGACTCCTTACCAATGTGGCACTCACAGTGATTTGGGTGACAAATACACACACACACACACAAAAAAAAAAAACATTATAGAGACACAAACCGAAGTGAGAATGTTTCTTAAAAGCCAAGTGCTTTGTCCTAAGTCAAATGGATGGAAAGTTCTAGAAAAGGATTTCCTCCCATGTCTCCCAAGTCAAAGTTCAGAATACACTTAAAGACATCTTTTAAATTTTCGTAACTGGACAAATTTTGATAGGAGAAAGTGGGGATAAGAAAGCTCCCACACCGTGGCTCTATTGTTGGAGAAATAACCTATGTTAATTACTGCAGAAATTTGTGAGAAGCCAGCAAAACTGAAGAGATTTTTCAGCAGAATAAATGAGGAAACAATCCCTGAGCTCCACTTCATATTTTCTCCATCAGCCCTGAGATGATGTCCAACCCAGCCCAGTGTTTGCCATTGGGTTGGTGCTCAATGAATGTCTATTCACTCTTTGTTCAACTGTCCTCAGACTAGCCATACAACCTCCTGTGGGCATGTTAACAAGACACTTGCTTCCCCCAAAATCTCTGAGACATCAGTGATGTAGCCTTGAACCCCTACTTCTACAATGTAGGAAAATTTTAATCTGTCCTCCAGATATTTGCTTTTTCCTGGTGCTGAGAATCTTGTTTAGCTCACTAATTTCATTCTACTGCCATGTTCAAAGAGCACAGCCTGTTCTCCAATTCCACAAGACATCTATTTGTGCTGTCCATCTGCTAGGTTTCGAGGATTCACTGAAGGCCAGGGATTTAGCTCAGTGGTTCTGGTGCCTGCCTTGCAAGCGCAAAGACCCAAGTTCGATCCCCAGTACCAAAAAAAAAAAAAAAAAAAAAGAATTCACTGAAGATCAGTGAGTTTTGGGGCGATTCTACCATAAACAGTCAGTACAGCTGACTCCCCCTCTTGTGGTCCTACCAACCTTCCCTTCCCTCTCTAATACTTTCCTCTCCCTTTCCTAGAGCAGCATATGTTCTTATTTGCTCAGATACAGTTAAACTCTATAGAGTTTCAGCCTCTATAATAAGCGACTTCTTGAGTAGTTTTTCATCACAAGGTAGGTCCCTTCCTCTAAAGTATTCTTAGACCACCCTCTAAGACAATAAGGACTTTTGCACCTCCCACAACACCCAAGAGTGAGATCAAATATGTGCAACCACTGCTTGTCCTTGTCAGTATTTCCTTTGGCCACATGATGAAAGATGGCAGACAGTCCCTGTCAGAGCAGAGCTCCTAAATGTTCTCTTTGCTCAACTAAAAGACTGCCTTCACCTCCATTGACAGGCAGTATATCTACCTGGCTGTGATACTCGGCACCACAGGCTGTGTGTATGCTGGATGTGGTCTGAGGTTTTCTGACACAGGGAGCAGGAAAGAATCATGGCTTCTAAACAAGAAACCCTGGCATTTGTGACAATATGAATGAACCTGAAAGACACTATGTTAAGTAAAATAACACATAAAGATCAGCATTAAATAATGTTACATATGGAATCTAAAAATTTTATCTCATAGAAGTTGGAAGTAGAGGGGCGGGGATTTAGCTCAGCGGTTTCGCCGCCTGCTATGCAAGCACGAAGACCCGAGTTCGATTCCCAGTACCAAAAAAAAAGAAGTTGAAAGTAGAATGGTGGTTACCAGAAACAAATAAGAGTGGGCAAAGAGGGTGGGGGAGAATAATGGTTACTAAATTATAGTTGGGCGAGAGTAAGAAATTTTGATATTCAGTGGCACAGTAGGGAAAATATAGTTAACAATAATGTATTGTATGTTACAAAATAATTAGAAAAGAAGGTTTTTAAATGTACTCACCATAAAGAAATGATAAAAGTTTAAGGTGATAGACATGCTAATTACTCTTATCTGATCATTATCCAGTGTACCCATGAGTCAAAACATCACATTATAGTTCAAAAAAATGTACAAATGTGTATCGATCCAAAAACTACCAAAATTAATTTTAAAATAATCACAGCCTATGTTCTCTATGAACTCATGAGGCACCAATTTACCTCATAATCCTGAGAAAAAGACTACCTTGCTCTGTAAAATAGCGATGTTATAAACACTTAACTTTATAGGGTCATTGTAAAGAGTAAGTAAGGTAAAACAAAAAAGAGGCAAACTTGCAAAATGCTTGGCTTGTCCCTTGGCTAATAATAAATGGTACACAAATGTGACTACTGAATGAAAGACGAAAACATACATAATATAAGGCAGATTTTGATGTTCTAAAGGAAATATGCAAATTACCACAGTGGTAAGTGGGAGGGAAGGATCCATTCTGGTTGAGAGAGGTTACCAACAGTGGACGGAAACTGAGTTGGCTGTGAAAAGACGGTAGAGTTTGGACGAGTGGTTTGGGGAACTTCCCACAAGGAGCTGATTAGCAGTGTTGAAAAGCTGCATATTTCTGGTAGTGTTTCAGGCTTAAAAGCCAAGGATCTCAGCCCCTAGCAGTTAAGGTGAAATTCAATGTTGCCACATTTAGAAGTGATTTGGTTCATTGAGGTTTTCAAAACTTTAAGTCTAAATCTCTACCTGACCCTATGCAACCTGTGCATAACAGAATTATAAGAGGAGATGTTTCATTACCTGAAAGAGCATTTAGACCAAGAGTCATCAGAAGTCTCAACTTTACTGTAGTAAGTTCAACATTCTTTTCCAAAAGTCATTTACTTATCAGTCTGCACACCTTCAATGAGAGGAAGTTCACTGTCAGTACAATTTGACTATAATCAAATCAGTTCACAAACTTAATTCTTTCCAGGATTCTGGTCACAAACCAAATTGTTCACAAACAGAAGTATTTGTGAACCAAGACACCGCTGCATACTGAAAGAACCAGAGGTTGGAACAACCACCAGGTTTATGGGAGGTCATGGCGATGACACAGTTTCTAGAAAAATCAGTTTTAGAAGGAAACTTAACTTGACCCTAGACAAGCCATTCGACCTCTCTGGATCTCAGAGCATCTCTCATGCATAGAACTCTAATACCTTAAAGTCTCAGATCAAATAGGTAACACAGGACACATGATGTCAAAGAGCCAATCAACTGAAATCAAGCATACCTAAGTATTTTGTAAGTTTCTAACTAAACAATAAAAAGATTATTATTACCACTGTGAAATCATTCCATTTCCATTCTACAAGTAGCAGCACATCTGTCCCTAGGGACACAGAGAAGAATAATCTCACTGTACTCCACCCTGAACAAACCTTGCCTGGAAAGCTGAGCAACCATATGTGGAGATCACACTCAGTCAGGAAAAGCAATACACTCTGGTTTGGCTAGAACCTAGAGATACTGCTAGGACAAAGGCTATCATCTAAGTGGAAACACTTATCACAGGTGTACACGAGGGACTAAACTTCTGTTAAACTCCTAAAGGCAAAACAAATATCCACAGGCAGAAGCACCATGGAAGTGGACTTCAGCTTTGTGTAAGGAAGAATATCTCAAAGGTTAAGTTTCTCAACTGGAAAAGTTGGCAAATCCCCATTGCCTGTGGATCTGGGGAACTAATTCTTGGAGTAGCAATAGGAGACAATTCTGCACTGGCAAGAGGGTTAGCCCAGATGTATATAAGTGTACCCCTCAGTTCCAATGTCCCCAAGACCTCCCTCAATACTTGGCAATATTTTTCATTTATCCAATAGATATTTCATAAATACCTCCTAACTTTGTAACCAGCATATTGCATTTGCATCTCAACTCTTCTACTTGCTAGCTGAGAGACCTTAGACAAGTTAGGTTCTCTATATCTCAGCTTCCTTAGCTATAAAATACATCTGCATCACTAGGGAAGCTGACTACCACTGCTATCCCCTGACCCTCTTATCTAATAAATGGAAGAAATAATAGTTTCTGCTTCATAAAGCTACCATGAAGATGAAAGATGATTTATGAAGAGCACTTCTGAACATAATACCAAATACATAATAGATACATAATACCTAGCCAATTAATGTTAGACATTAATATACTATGTAATATATTACTTCTGTGATATTTAGAGTAACAGTAAGTCCCCAACTTACCAACAGCTCCATTCCAGGAGAACATTCATAAGTCGGTT